AATAATAATAATAATAATAATAATAATAATAATAATAATAATAATAACAACAACAACAATAAGTCCCACTACTGTGGGACTTCCGAATACAGACTGACAAAGTTTTGGAACACAATACCCCAGATATCACGATCATGGAGAAGAAAAGAGTGTGGATCGTTGACATTGCCATACCTGGTGACAGAATCAATGAGAAACAACTTGGAAAAGTCACCAGATATCAGGACTTGAGAATCGAACTGCAGAGACTCTGGCATAAACCAGTGCAGATGGTTCCAGTGGTACTCGGCACACTGGGTGCTGTGCCTAAAGACCTAGGCAAGCACTTAAAAACAATTGGCGCTGACAGAATCACCATTGGTCAGCTGCAGAAGGCCACCTTACTGGGATCTGCTGGCATAATCCACCGATACATCACGCAGTCCTAAACGCTTGGGAAGTGTTTGACTGATGATTTGTGATGCAAAACCCAGCATAGTTATCTCGTTTGCTGTGTATATTGTTCATTTTTGTGTATAATAATAATAATCTTCTTTATAATAATGCAGGCCTAGAAGATTCTCCTTCTTCCCTGGTTCTGTGGGTTTTCTCACAGCATTAAAAGGTTGTTTTTCCTCTGATGAAAGAATTTCTGAGACACCCCCCCCACACACACACACTTCATTCTCCCACCTCCTCTTTGGTGTCTGACAAAAGAAACTGACCTGATTCCATTTCTAATGGTCAGCGTATGTATCTGCAATGGGAAATCTGAGATTGCCCTGGGAATCAGTTTTGATGCATCTAGCCAAAGACTTCGCTCCAGTCCGCTTTTTGAGCAGGAGCAGGAGCCCTCCCTGATTGGCTGATTCCCGTTTGACAGCTCAGTATAAAAGGAGCTGTCAAATGGAATCAGCTGTTTTCTGTCAGCCAGCTGCCTGGATAGCTTGCAGAAAGTCACGGCTGTTTTTTTTACTTTATTGCAGTAAAGCCTGTTATCCTTCACTTTTGCCTCTGCCAACTGTAAAAAGTTTGATTACACCTTTTGAATGTTCCTGAATGACGAAAGCAGCAACACACAATGTGTTCGTGACATAAAACTTACTTCGCATAGCTTATGCTCATATTGACCCACTGTTTTCCAAGCGAATTTTAGGGGTGGACTCTTGCACTGCTTGGGGTTAGAAAAAACATTCTCTCTGGCTTCTCCATATTTCCAATATTCTTGATTCTGTAGATGAAGTTCTTGATATTTCAGGCCAAATTACAGTTGAATCTCGTCTAAGAAATTTGTAGAACCACAGGAGGAAATTCGGAAACATAGATTTGTTGGGTGGTGACTGAATACTGTCCTGAGAAACTTCCTTAGTTTTCTTCTGAGTGAAGCCATTTGACGCCACCCACCCTGGAACAGAACCTGGATCTTCTTTGCATCTGCTTTCCGTCCTGGTCTGGAAATTTTTCCTTTTCCTCTGGATCTCTGGATTTTCTCACAGCCCTAAGAAATCTGTTATCCTTTGACGAAGGATTTTCTGGGGGCCCCAATTGACCTTCTCTTTCATGTTAGACAAAAACAATTTTCTGCTTAAGATTCTAACAATCAGCATATTCTTGATCTATTGTTGAAAACTAATCAGAACCAAGGGATTGAGCTACTGTAGGGCACAATAAAAGCCAGGTTTGATCTGTGAAGATCTTCTTTATGAACACCTATCAAGGAAAAAGGGATTTTATGGGTGGCAAGACTATTCTGTCCAGGACTCTCACAGTTTTGAGGAATTTCTGGAATTAAAGTCATCAGTAAGAAGATCTTTTCTTTGCAGGAATTGTTGACTTATGACTCAAGGCATCCCTTGGAATCTTCTATCCTGCTGTTCCTGTTCGTAGTTTTGTACCAGAAACCCTATTGCCATGTTCGACCAACCCTCTAGCTGTCTCCCTTGTTTATTCTGACTTTTGTATCTTGTGAATCCTTTAGTCCAGTGATCCCCAACCTTTCTTATGCCGCGGCCCGGTATCCCCAACCTTTTTTATGGCGCGGCCCGGTACCGGCATTAGCTGGGTGCCGCCATCTTTTTTTGATGAAAAAGTGCTTCCGGTGAGCTTTTCCGGGTAGAAAGCTCACCGGAAGCACTTTTTCATCAAAAAAAGATGGCGGCGCCCAGCAAACCAGCGGCCCGGTAGGACTTGTTCCATGGACCGGTACCGGTCCACGGACCGGTGGTTGGGGACCCCTGCTTTAGTCCACAGGATAGTTTTCGAGACAACCACTCATGCTCCGATCTGCTCAAAGGAGGCCATGTTTCTTGAAGGAAGGCAGAAGGAGGAAGTTAGAAGATTCAGAGAAGTTGTCCACTTGGTTAACTGAAGTACAAATAAAAAATAGGAAGGCACTGAACTTTGCAGAGAGATATTTTGTTTAATTTTGTGTTATCTAAGGATTGTATAATCTTGTATAAATACAGGAAGAGATGCCAATTGTCCAGGTGCCCAGGTTTTGTATGCAGAAAAGAAGCGTTTGTCTTGAAGACAGGGAATGGTTGGTTCTTCACCTGATCTGATCTGGCTTCCGTTTTGGTGTCAGGAGCAAAAAGGCCACATCCCCTGGATTTCCCTTTCCCACTGAATCTTCCTGTTCTTCTCTAGATATATTAGATATCCAGCCCCATTCACCCACCCCATCTCAAAGTGTCTGCTTCCATTCTGGGCTACACTTTGCAGGCTCCAGAGAAGATCACGAGATGAAAACTCTGTTGCTGACCTTGGTGGTGGTGACAATCATGTGCCTGGACTTAGGTAAGGCCACCAAACTTTGTTCTTCGGTGGCAATCAAACCCAAAACAAACGGGCAGAGGGAGGGAGGCTATTCAAGGCAGTTGTGGTCCCTTTTTTTGGGTGGGACTTTCTCACTGTTCTGGTCTGCATAAGGAGGGTCCATGGGATCCTTTGGGGGAGAAGAGGAGGTCTCCATTTGGAGAGAAGCCCATGGCTGAGACAGGGGCTGTTCCAGGCTGGCATTCTGGGGAAGACTACCTCTGAAAGTAGAGGTTCCTTTGCATAGTGAGCTCTGCCATGGGATTATTCCAGGGAATGAGATGAAAAATGTTTCTGCTCACCTCTCTCTGGCTTTGCCATCCTTCAGTATTTTGGATGGTACGGCCAAAGGGGACCAGTGATGACTCCTTCATGTCAAGCCTGGACATTCCTCAACATCAATCTGACATTGGTTGCTGCTTGCTGGGATTTCTGAGACACCTCAAACTTTCATACAACCTTGGGGGTCTCCCCAAGGTGAAGGATGTCAGGTCCTTTCTCCATCATGCCCACCTGAAAGAAGAAACCTCTTGATTCAACAGTTGACTCTGAAGGCTCTTCTCAAGCTTTCTCAATCCTGGGTTCAAGTTTTGGTGGTTACACCTGGACATTGGGGGTTCACTGGCCTGATCTTTCCTCCCTGCATTGGGTAGACCACGGCAAAGCTTGGCTGGCTTTCCTCTTTGCACCAGGTAGACCGAGCCGAAGCTTCACTAGCCTGATCTTTCCTCCCTGCATTGGGTAGACCGGGCTGAAGCGACACGAGTAGACTGGGATGGCCCGGAGCTAACCTCATTGCGGGCCTTGAGTTTGACACCCCTGGACTACAATGATGTGCTCCTTCTGCAAAAAGCATATTGCACTAAAATACATACTTGGTTAGAAAAAATGGTAAACAACATGTAGATTTGAAACCAGAGATATTTTTGGTGGGTATATTACCAGATCAGTATGACAAAGGGAAAACATACTTAATTTTACATGTCCTAACAGGATAATAATAATAATAATAATAATAATAATAATAATAATAATAATAATAATAATAATAATAATAATAATAATAGAATACAGACAGACCATCATTTAGAATACAACATGTCAGATATCACAGTCATTAAAAAATAAGGCATACAATTCATTGATATCGCTGTACCAGGAGTGCCAGAGTCTAAGAAAAAGAACTAGAAAAAAAAATCACAAAACATCGCAACCTGACTATCGAAGCTATGCAATTATGGATGAAACATGTGACAGGGATACCCATTGTCATCGGGGCACTTGCTACCATGTCCAAGAATTTTGCAAAATACATCAAGAAATTGCAGCTTCTTGCAACAACACCGGCAGAACTGCAAGAAAACTGTACTACTTGGAACATCGTACATTTTAAGAAGAGACTTGGTTGATACCTAGGATGCTGGCAGCAACCTGTATCAACCATCAGTACCGGTCAATGATATTTGCGATGCATTTTTAAATGTTCGGTTGACTGAGTTTCATGTTTAATGAATAGAAGAGATAATAATAATAATAATGCCTTCTTTGGTGAACTCTCCTTGCTCCCATTCAGAAAATCGGCAGTCTTAGAAATAAAGGGATCTTTCCTTGACATAAGGAAAATAATATCTCTAAGCCTGCAAAGAACAAACTCAAGAAGGGCAGATATAATCTGTTTTGGGAAGATTAAAGAAAGGAGTTTCTTCATTCCTTCATCAACAAAGGCGAGCTGATTTGTCTTCAGTGGACAAGGCAGATAAGGCTCCTCTCCAGCCAGCAATGTTTGTGTCTCTTTCACACCAGGGGATCTTATCCAAGTGTCTTTCTCTGAAATTCAGTGTTTGTTTGCCCTGGGGCCGCAGATAGCTGTTGGGTGGGAAACTTGCAGTTCCAACAGTTCCTCCATCTGACTGGTCTAATGGGAGTAAACAAAGAGGCCCACCAAGCAAAGCAACCCACCCCAAGATAGGCAAGCCGATCCCTTTGGATTGCCTTCCCTAACCTGATGTCCTCCAGATGTAACAATCCCATCCTATGAATCCCAAACATATGAAGAATGGTTGCAGGAATTGGGTATGGCCAGTCTAGAGAAAAGAAGGCCGGGGTGACATGATAGCAGCATTCCAGTATTTGAGGGGCTGCCACAAAGAGGAGGGGGTCAAATTATTCTCCAAAGCACCAGAAGGTAAGACAAGAAACAATGGAAACTAATTAAAGAGAGAAGCAACCTGCAATTAAGGAGAAACTTCACAACAGTGAGGACAATTAACCAGTGGAACATCTTGCCTTTGGGAGTTCTGAGTGCTTCATCACTGGAGGTTTCCAAGAAAAGACTACATAGCCACCTACCTCCAAACTTGGCAACTTTAAGACTTGTGAACTTCAACTCCCAGAATTTCCCAGCCAGCTGACTGGAGAATTCTGGGAATTGAAGTCCACAAGTCTTAAAGTTGCCAAGTTTGGAGACCTCTGGTATAGGGTCTCCTGTTTGAACAAGAAGTTGGACTAGAAGACCTCCAAGGTCCCTTCCAGCTCTATTCTGATTGATTGATTGATTGATTGATTGATTGATTGATTGATCAATTGATTGATCATTCCCAGCTCAAGTACTGGAGAATCATAGGGATCAAAGTCCAGGAAGTCCTCAGGTTGGGATATTTGCTTTGGCAAAACAAAGTGAAGACATACTTCAGTTTGATCCAGAATGGCTAAAGTCCCTGTGGCGTGCAGTCAAAATCCTGTTAATTCCTGACACTGATGTCCACAAAAGTGTACTGCTTGTATGGGTCATAAATTGAGATAAGACTTGGCTAAAAGTTGCCTTGAAAGCAGCTGAAAACCTCTCCATTCCTAAGTGGATAGAGGCCTGGTTGGTTAAGTTGATTGATAAGCTCCAGAGAAATGGTGAACCAGATTGTGGAGTGTCAAAAGCTCCAAGGGTATCTTGCTTAGGAGCAAAGACCTTCTTCTTTGGACGGAAATTGACTGTACTGCTGGGATAAGGCACCTAGATTCCATGAACTATAGTTCCCTCCTGTCAGGAGCGAGAAATCAAGAACCAAGGCTGTTCAAATGAATGTTAGTTTATTCCACACTAGCTCTCTGCAGCAATCTGAATTACTAATGGTCAAGGCAAATTGGTGGTAGATAAGAGTCAGTGGAATTAAAGGAGGGTGGGACTTAGAACTCTTGTGGGTAACAAAGGGACTCCAAGATGATGACACCTTGAGTTCAACCAGGTAATCTCTTACACATCATTCTTTATTACTGGGCATGCTAGCAAGAAGTACTGGGCATTCACATGGGAAAGGCCAATATTCTACAGTCATATCCTTTCTTTATCCACCATATCTTCTGAGGTTTATTAATGCCTGCATGAACTCAGGGGTATTTCTGTATGTTGGTATCAATGAAGTTGAGCTAGAACAGGGGTCTCCAACCTTGGCCACTTTAAGACTTGTGGACTTCAACTCCCAGAGTTCCTCAGCCAGCTTTGCTTAATTCTGGGAGTCCACAAGTCTTAAAGTGGCCAAGGTTGGAGACCCCTGAGCTAGAAGAAGACATAATTTGACTCACTGCAATGCTTTCTTATATTCCCATTGGCTTCAGCATCTTGTTTCTTGCATTTCCTACCTCTGAAAAGATACAAGAAGAGTTTCTTCTCTCCTTTTCACCCCCTTTCCAAGCAATAGGTACCTAAGGATGACCTCTCCCCAACACAGATTGTGACGGTTAAAAATTCTACTGCATCAAGTTTGGTCAGCGTATTATAAAAAAGATGTTCAGGCACTGGAAAGAATGCAGAAAAGAGCAACAAAGATGATTTGGGGTCTGGAAGTTAAAACATACAAAGAATGGTTGATTGCTCTCACCGTTAGAAAAATGTCTCCTTAGTTCTAGGTTGCTTCTCTCCTTGGTTAGTTTTCATCCATTGTTTCTTGCCTTGCCTATTGGAAAATAGTCTGACTGCCTGCATCTTTGTAGGGGCCTCTTAGATACTGGAAGCCCTGGTATCATGTCTCCCCTAGTCCTTCTTTTCATTAGACTAGACATACCCAATTCCAATAACCCTTCTTCACCTGTTTTAGTCCCCAGCCCCATAATCACCCTTGTTGCTCTTCTCTGCACTTTTTCCAAAGTCTATTTTTTTTAATATTTTAAAATCTTTTTTTATATTGGGGTGACC